TATTATTTTATGACATTCCGAGAAAATATTATTAACGTATTTCTTATGCATTTTATGCATTTATACATATACATTGACCCATGACCAGATGACGTTATATACGCACCACCACCTGATCAGCTGGTATACGTTGATGATTTGCCCACAGTGGCTGAAATGATATGATGGGATACCCTCAGAGGCTTGATGATGCTATGAACGCATATACCTATGCATGGTATCACATTTATACGCATATGCATGACATTATAAAAATGAAATGACTCACAGAGCTATGCACACGTACATGTCGAGTCTTTTACTCCATGTTTCTCTCATGTCTATTATTTACTGAGTTTCATTCCTTACATACTCGGTACATTATTTGTACTGACGTCCCCTTTGCTTGGGGACGCTGCGTTTCATGCCCGCAGGTCTCGATCGACAGGTCGAGAGTCCTCCAAGTAGGCGATCAGCTCATCAGAAGATATTGATGCACTCCATTTGCTCCGGAGTTGCTTGTTTGGTCAGTATGATTTAGATGTGTATGGTTTGATATGGCGGGGCTCTGTCCCGACCTTTATGATAATTATGTACTCTTAGAGGCTCGTAGACATATGTCGTGTACGTGAAAGATTGTACGGTCTTGTCGGCCTATGTTTTGAGTTTATAAATGATGATGTTGGCCTATTAGGCCCGTATGTCACGTGTATATGATGATGTAATAAGAAAGATATGTTACGTTGGTACTCGGTTGAGTAAGGTACCGGGTGCCCGTCGCGACTCATCGGTTTGGGTCGTGACACATGTAAATCCTCAAGAATAATTCCCAGCTAAAATTGCAGCGATGAAATCTCCAAGTTAGTCCCTAGGTAATAAATTCTTCAGGTAAATCCCCAAGAAATAATCCCCAACTAATATATCACAACAAAATTCTCAGGTAATCTCCTAGGTAATAACATCCCCAGGTAAATCCCCAAGAAATAATCCCCAGCTAAAATCGCAACAACAAATTTCCAGGTAATTCCCTAGGTAATATAATTCTCATGTAAATCCCCAAGAAATAATCCCTAACTAAATCCGCAAGTAACATTACCTAGGGAAGTTCCTACGAAATCACAAAGGAACTAATTTTTTTTATATTTTTCATTATTTACCTGCAAAATTACCCACGGAAATGATATTTGGGGATTATTTTCCCAAATAAATCTCCAGGTAATATTTTGGCGCTAAATGGCGCCAAATACATTTGCGGATTTACCTGGAAAAATCGAATTGGCAGGTAAATATTTTAGAATCTAGGAATTATTAGATTTTCGCATCGAAAATTTGCAGGAATTATCAGTGGAAAAAATTCTCAGATAAAATTCCCATGTAATTTAAGGTTTTCTTGTAGTGTTTTATCAAACGGAAAATATTCAAAAGCTAAAACGCCGTAATAAGGTAACCAATTTTATACATTATTTTGCTAATTTTAGCTTATAAAAGATATTGTAAATATTCCTTTATTTCCACCCCCAAAACCTTTTAGTTTCACCAAGTCCTAAGAAGTTAGGGGTACGTAGTAGCCATCAAATTGTCTCAAGTAAATCCAAGGGGAGCGTAAATAGATGAAATTTCATACTCAAAAATTGCTTGTGATCATCTACTAATGGCACGTAATTATTATCATTTATTTTTCATATTATGTGTGTTAGTTTGACTAGACATAATTATTTAAGAATACATTTTCTTTTGAATTTTATGATTTTAACTTAAAAGGTATAACATACTAAAAATATTCTTTTAAATCTTATAATTTTAGGGATGCCATATCATTTTTATAAAAAAAGTTTCAAAAAGGATAACAATGAAAATATTGGTATTAAAACGAATTATTAAATATAGAGAGACAATCTTTTTAAAATAAATTACAAAGAAAAATAAACACACAAATTGAAACGGCTGAAATAAAACGTATTCTCTCTTTTTCATTTAGTTAGGCGCTACTTTCTTGCTAATTATTTTTAAAAATATTTTTACATTTAAAAGAAATTTAACTTTGTAATATAATTTTAAAACTAAAAAAGACGTAATTTAAAACCCTCCCTAGACCCTATTACATAGAAGTATATTGGGTATATTGTTGTTATAAAAGACTTAATTTAAAACGAGAAATTAATTTTGTTTTTCCACCGAAACGGAGGGAGCAATACGGTGCGCGACAAAACCGAAAAAGACAAAAAGATCTACAAGGGGTATGTCAGCGTGAGACGACAAGTTGGGTTTACCGCAAGTGAGGATAAGAATTAAGAAGTTAGTCCACCGGAAAACAATGGTAGCATTTGACAGGTTTGAAGCTAACGTGGGGAGTTTTTGCTTCCTCACTACTGCATGTCGAGTTGGCGTTTTCCTTATTACTACTACTTTTTGCATGTCCGAATGGCTACTACTTGCGTGCATGGCAGCCACGTCTCTTCCTCAAAGTTATTGCTTTTTTTTTTTTGTTTTCAATGAATACATATCTTAAGAGGTCGTTTGTAGGGTGGATAAGAATAATGATGAATATGATGTATTAAAGTATTAGTTATGCTGATATATTTTTTATCAATTATTTGATTTGATGTATTAAAATATTACGCAATTTTTAAAAAAATTATTTATTTATAAAAATACATAATCAGTCCATCACTTTATCTATTTTAAAAGAAATATATATTGGAGAATATTTTTATATAAAAAATATTTTTAAAAAATTATTTGATTTGTCTACATATATTAAAGTATAGAACTGAATATTTATTTATAAAAAAAAAAAATATATGCTAAATATTTATTTATTTATTAGGTATATAATTTTATTTTTTACTTTTTAGGATTAATTTAAACTTGCATTAATATAATATCATATTTTAAAAATAATATCATATTTTAATCAAACATAAATTTTGAAGGACAATTTTATCTTTAACTAAGATAATGCATGCATTAAACTCATTGCATTGTTAATGCCATAGTTTCCTATGCATTAGTTATACATAAGATAATATCAAATATGGTGTATAACTAATGTTTGTATAACTAATGCATAAGTTCAAAAAGTATATTAAACAAAGTATTATTAATATACAAAGCTAATACATGCATTATTTTATCTAATACATCTTACCAAAGCATTAAACTCATTACATTGTTAATACCATGGTTTCCTATGCATTAGTTATGCATAAGATAATATCAAATATGGTGTATAACTAATGTTTGTATAACTAATGCATAAGTTCAAAAAGTATATTAAATAAAGTATTATTAATATACAAAGCTAATACATGCATTATTTTATCTAATACATCTTACCAAAGCATTAAACTCATTACATTGTTAATACCATGGTTTCCTATGCATTAGTTATGCATAAGATAATATCAAATATGGTGTATAACTAATGTTTGTATAACTAATGCATAAGTTCAAAAAGTATATTAAATAAAGTATTATTAATATACAAAGCTAATACATATATTATTTTATCTAATGCATCTTATCAAACCCAATCTGCTATCCGAAAGAAAAGGGAATGGCTCGACTATCCCATCTAGCCAAGCCAAAAAAATAGATTAGATATAAATTTGATAAAATGAGTTAGAAAAAAAAAATTACTTAGGTTGACCCCTAAGTTCTTAAAAAATTGAGCCTGTGTATGGACTGTTAACTCAACCGGAGATGTTTGAAAAATTGAATTGGATGTTAATAGAAAACACTGGAAGGTCCAGACAAAATAACGNACAATTTCCTTAAGGACACACGGTGCATTTAGTGGGTTTAATTTATTTTGAAATTGTTTTATCATATATTATTCGAACATTCTGTTTCTGTTTCTGTTTTAGAAGTTTATTGTTTCATTATTTATTATAGTAATACACATTGTCTAACATTTATCCCTTCTTTTTTTTTTTTTTTTTTTTTTTTTTTTTTTTTTAAATTTCTTTCAAAATAATTAATTTATATAGTATTTAATAACTCTTTAACTCTAATATTACACATGACATTAAAAAGACGATAATAAAGATATTTTGATATATGACACATAATTTTAATTTATGACCTCTAAACAAAGATAGAAGTAGCATTAGTGCAGGATGGATTTCCTCCCATATAGTTCTGGCTGAACTAAAAATCTTCCTTACTTTTGTTTTTTTAAATCCGTGTTCAATTAAATTAAGATTATAAATTAAAACGGAAAGAGTAGTATTTATTGATAAAATACCTATTTTTCGAGTTTAAGAAACTTGATATCTTATTTTAACGCTCAAATTTGGAAAGCATCTTAATTAAACCAAGGGATTGATCGAGCAACATATTTGTTACAGAAATCCCACTTAAAAGTTGCCGATGAGTAATTAGTCGACTTAAATTGGATTTAGTTTCTTTGACCTCCGGCCTAACCACGTACGTGTATAATTTTTTTTATTGAATTTTTCTCACAAAATTAAATACTTAGAAAGGCATGATAAGCTCAAAAAACAGTAATTTAATTATGTCTTCAAACAATATTTTTAATATTGTAACCATATACTTAAACCTAAATCTGACGAAAATATGCAACAAAGTTTATTTTAAATGTAAATATATGAAATGTCCATATGCATAACTTCTTACTTTTATACCCTCATTTCAGTTTTATGCGAACCTTTTTAGAGTGTCAAGAGTTAAACTAATTGATTTTTAGATAAATATGAACATAGAATTTTATAATTTTAAAAAATAAAATTTATATATTTAAAAATAATATTCAAATATTATAAGTTATAATAATTAATAATTTAAAATAAAAATATTTATAAAAAGTATGATAAAAATTAACTTTGTTTGACTCCCGTAAAAAATAGTAAGTAGGTTCCTGTAAAGGAATACGGAACGAGTAATTATTTGTACTACTCCTGCATTGTTATTATTTCCTGGACCCTGGTATTGAGTGTTTTTGTGTTTTTCTATTTAAGCCAACCAAGCATTTTACGCTCGAACTCGGGACAAAGTTGTCTCAAAGCAGGATATATAAAAGCTACCAAAAAGAAGAATACATAAAAGCTACCAAAGAGAAAAGAAAAGACCAACCGAACGAGAGAGAGAGACAGACGGTAAAATGGACGCAACAGCGGCAGTGACAAGTGCAGCTCCGGCAAGTGTGACGGAGGAGCAGCCACCGCACATGGCAGCAGCGGGGGAGACGAAGAGGAAGATGATAATGGTGGCTATGGACGAGAGCGAAGAGAGTTTCTATGCTCTCAATTGGGCATTGGATCACTTGCTCAACAATTCTGAAGAAGAAACCACTATTATCACTTTGATTAATGTCCAACCTCCTTTTAGCCCCTTGGTTTATCCTGCTGGACCAGGTATTCTCTATTTAATTTGTCTCATAATTCTATATTTATACATGTCCCAAAATGGTGGCTTATTTGGACAGAAAAACACCACACTTCTCTAACAAAATAATTAGTACCTGAAAAAGGATACTGCTAAAGAGAAAATATTCCTCTTTCCTCAAAAGAAAAAACAAATATGAAAGTGGGACGGAGACGATACTTGCGCTCGTACATTATTCATATGCTCTAAGAGGGCGCTTGGGTAAGTTTAAAAGCAGGTAAGATTATCTTTTAAATTTTTTTTATTTTTTTTTGGATTTTCTTATATTTAATAAACAATAAACAGCAGAGGTGCTTTTAATCCTTTTCAGCTAATTAAAATGTGACATTCCAACCTCTCCTTTTGAATTGGTATGTTTGACCAAGCATGAGAGTTGATATAACTATCTATGATGTGATGAAAGTTGAGTTTTGGCGAGGTCCAGATTGAAGATTCTGTCTAACACAATATATAGTGCTGCGATCTGCTAAAGAAAGACATAAAAAGGAATCCGTGAATTCTAGTCATCCCAAGCATTCTCTGTCTATGCCAAAGAGTCTCAATGTAAGGAGCCACTACTCCTCTCCCTTTAATTTGCTACCTCCTAGATGGTCTTATGGTCACTTTTTATTCTACTTGTTGCAAGGTTTGTTTGGATGTCTTCTCATAAAGTCAACCTCAACCCACTCAATATCTGAAGAGGATAGGCTTTTGGCCGTCGCAAAAACATCGAATTGTAGACTTGTGATCTCAGCATGAAGGGTTTTGGAAAAACAAATAATTGTGATAAGAAAACTATCACGGCAAAGGAGGACGTAGCATGCCATTGAGTGGGATTGGTACAGTAGTATAATCGCGAACGCATGACCGTATCCAAGTCTTACGTATGACTTCAGTAGTAGGGGGCTAGGCCAGCTTCAATTTTTCCGCTACCTTTGAGACCCAACCTGGCGATATGTCCATTTGTGTTGCCAAGAGTTTCGTGCATGGGCGGATTGTAAAGGGGAAGATAACATTAGTGCGTGAGACCCAAACAAATGGGTTCATTAGAATTAGTAACTTTGGCTCCTTGTATATCTGTTAAAAATGATTTCCAAGTACTTAATAAGTTAAATGATCAGTTGTGGTAGAAGTGAACCAAATCTTGGATTCGTGTCTAGTTTCGTGTGTGTATTAGAAAGGGTTTTGCTGAGGTCTCAAAGAGGTGGATTGAATTGCTTGTGCATAAGTTATGTTCATGCTTATACCAGAATTCTAGACTACCGGTATCTTCATCAAATAATAAGAATCACTTATGTAAGGAGAGAAGTTAACTTGCTCCAGCTGAATGTTACCCGTGAAATTCACATCAGTCTCTTCCTCCGCGTGGATTTTAGTCAATCCTTAATTTTCCTGTAGCACATTAGCTCTACGTGTGCTAACAGAAGATTTAATTGGCCATGATCTTTAATTACAAAAAGGATAAAAAATTAATTGAATTAAATATCTGTATCAATCAGCTAAAGTCGAAGAATCCAATTTGAAATTATGACGAAGAATATTTAAGGTATTTAATTGGCCATGATCTTTAATTACAAAAAGGATAAAAAGTTAATTGAATTAAATATCTGTATCAATCAGCTAAAGTCGAAGAATCCAATTTGAAATTATGAGGAAGAATATTTAAGGTATTTATTAAGCATAACTTCATTTATTATAGCAACAGATTGGAGACATATATATCATTAATCTCCCCCTCCCTTTAATTGAATTAAATTGAAAATGAGTTTCCTGTTTTGATAATTTTCTGCATGATCCGATCCATGCTTCATTTAATGGGAATTTGGGTACCTCAATCTGATCGTTACCCAATGATACTAACTCTGTTTATGTTCATAGTTGTTTTTGCAGCACCTACTATGGTAGAAGCCGTGAAAAAAGCACAACAAGAGAATGCAACTACAATACTGTCTCGGGCATTCCATATGTGCACACAAAAGAGGGTATCTTTAACGATTTCCTTGTCATTCTTAATTTCTTACTTAATTTTTTATAGGTTATTTATGTACATAAAAAAATAAACGAATTAGTCTGAACCAATATTTTGTAGAAAGCAAAATAAGTTGGAGGATGAGTCTAGTCTTTGAAACTAAAATTGTTTGAGGATGGGTCTAGCTAACTCATATTTTTGGAGATCGTTTGCTTTGCAGTATAAGAAAATGTAGCTCCTCAAAAACAAAAATAAAATAAAATAAAAAATTATACAACATTTGGTTTCAAGTGTGGAACTCTTCATTATTATTACACTGTATTATTACCATTTATTAGATTTCATTTTAAGATTGTATACTTAACACTGTCCTAACTTGTACGAGAATTCATGTATATTTTATGACGGTTAGATGTAGAATTGGAATAGATGTGTTAATGTATCATCATGAAGCTAGTTCTTCATGTTGCTAATCACAATTTGGGTATTATAAGCCATGTCTTATTATATTATAACGATTTGCTATATTGTTATTACTGTGTGGAAGATATATAAATATTTAATTTGTACACGTAGTTTGTGAATCATCACCTAATATGAATTGCACACTTATTGAGGAAATGCCATATATGCAATTCAAACGCAACCCTAGTGACCACAAAACACAATTGATTTGATAAGATAATAAACATATATACCAAATGTAATATATAGACCAAGCAATATCTGCTTATAATGACGTACAATTCATGGAGTAACAGAAAACACAAGCTATATATCAGGTAAAAATATTGACTAGTATTTAGCATTAATTTTTGCCCGTATTTGTTGATGGATGAGGATTTGGAAATATTTTATGCCATATAAATTGGCTGGTTTGAAATTTGAGTTGTTCTAGTTGGTATTTCTGTGACTCATCTTTAAATTAACCTTTGATTAAGTAAACACTTATGCTTGTTTCAGGTGAAGGCGGAGACTCTGATCCTTGAAGGGGACCCAAAAGATAAGATATGTCAAGCCGCTGATGAGTTGCACGTTGACCTTCTAGTGATGGGTAGCAGAGGGCTTGGCAAAATCAAAAGGTAATTTTTCTTTTTCCAAATAATAAATTATATTGTGAGACAAATAGCAGTGGCAGCACATAATTGAATATGCAGTTTCACTTGATTAGATATAGAGCGCTGCCTTTTACTGTCCGAAAGTCCTTGTCCAGTACGAAGAACAAATAAGGAAGACACAGAAAACGCAGGATATATATGTAGATTAATTCTTATTATTTACGAGGTGATTCTAAAGATACTTATATTATATAGCTTGACAAAATTTTAAATGAGGCAGACCCTGATACTAATGAAACATTCTTATTTCGTGATGTTTAAGTAAAAGGGTTGTATTCTTTTTGAATTGAACTGTGTAAGGTTAAACCTTTTACACAGTGCTTAAACTTGGCTTGCAGGGCTTTTCTGGGAAGTGTGAGTGACTATTGCGCTCATCATGTGCATTGCCCCATTCTCATTGTGAAGCCACCCAAGGCACCACACAAGTAGCTAATTAAGGATATATTGTATATAATGCATCAAGTCTTTTATTAGTTAAACAATGTTTTGTTGTGTTTGAATTACTTGTTCCACTTTAGTCCATGAAAATGTGTGTGAAATTTGAGACTCTAAAGTGATGTAACTAATGGTAAGAAATTGGTATTGCAGACATGATCACATTATTGTCTAATTAACGAAAATATGTGTTCTCTTTATTCATGGATGAGTTTGGGTAGAAGAAAATCTAATAGGCTTGTTCGGCCGGGTTCACTTAGTTGAGCACCGGTTGCGCTCTCCGAGTTCGGGGCATGATAGTTAGTTTTTGACACAGCTGATATTCAATCTACATTAGCTGAGCTCTCTACCCTACTCTAGTTCTAAGGCCGGTGCCCATGCCTACAAGCCTACTTTCTTCTTTGCAAGTCTCCCATACATTGGCGAGTCTCAACAACTGGATGCAGGGTTACTTCAAAGCTGTCTAAGATATATTGTATTGTTATAGGGAAGTCATCCACAAAGGCACCGCAGGATTCTACTGAGCTTGATGAGAAGCTGCCCAAGATTCTAGAAAACCAGAAGTTGATCATGGACACTCTGGCACAACATGGTTTAGTTATTGAGGACTTGACCAAAGAAGTGAAGAAGATGAGAAAGTCCCAAGCTAGCAAAAAGTTAGTGGATAATCTTAGGAGAGAGGTGACTTGGCTAGCTACAACTGGGGATTTACCATTTGATATACTGCTTGACCCAGACCAGTACGCCCCAGGTCCATCTGCACAGGTTGCACCACCTGGCTAGTCTTATGAGCCATGCCTTGTTGCCGACACTGCTGGCAGCGATGTATGCCACTCCCGCCACTCCCAGATATGATGATGATGATATACAGTTGGCTGAGCCAACATGATTTGATGTTGCTGGTGACAATGAGATGTCCAAGGATACTTAGGGAGTTCCTTCGCCCTCTCACTTTTCACTCTTGGTTTGTTAAGCATTAGGGACAATGCTTACTTTTATTCCGAGGGGGTGGAGTTTATTTGATACATTTGACACATTTGGATACATTTGAAATGTAATAATTGGATAATTTTATTTCTTTTTAGTTTATCTATCTTTAGTTAGTTATTGTTTTCATTAACTTCTTTAGTTGTTTACTTTGATTTTGGTTTTGTTAGTAGCTTGTTTTGATGTTAGTAGTTTTCATGTTCTTCGTAGTAGTATGGATAATAAACATTTGGTTTTCTTAATGCCACGCTTCTTTCCAATGGTTGTCTTTTGTGTGAACCGGGTGACTCTTCCCGAGGATTGATGGTGTGACAACTTTCTTAAGGGAATGACTCCGTTTTTGTGTTTAGGTAATAATAATAGTAGGAGTAATGAATAAAATCTCTAATCAAGTCATTCTCTAAAAAGAGTTATTCATGCTTCATTTGGCACCAACATACTTAACTATGTGCTTATGGTTTGAAATAAAGTTTTTGAAAAAACAAATAGTTCTAGTTAGTGACTTTGAGACTATATCCAATTTTATGATCTAGTTGCATGAGGGGTGAGGTGATTTTTCATTGCTAGTCCAAGTATTTGTGTGAATGGTCTAGAAATTGCTCCAAATGTGCTTCAAGGCGAAATCCTAAGTTTGATTGGTTTGTAAGATTATTGTAGGTTTTCCTTGGTCTGTTCGAGCCTTCTCTTTCCAAACAATGCTTGTTATTCCTTGTCAACCCCTTTGAGCCTTTAGCCTTTCTTAATTGGTAGCCACACTACAAGCCTTTACCCATTTTGTTGTAATCCTTTCTTGGTACCCGGACCTTCCTTAACACTCTTATGAACTAAGTGGCGTAAGGCATAAGTTTGGGGGGAGAGTTGAGGAATTTGAAAGAGGTATCAAGGCACCAAAAAGAGAAAATAAATGATCTCTATGAAAAGAGAAGGCAAGAAAAGAAAAGAACAAAAAAAAATACGAAAAAGAGAATAAAAAGGAAGTTGAAATAAAAAAGAGACAACTATCTCTAGTATGAGCATCAAGGGAGAAAAAGAATGAAATGAACAAGAAAGAGTGATGTCAAGTCTCTCTTGCCCCCATGAAAATGGAAATGCCTCTAATAGTTAGTAAATGTGAGCCAAGAAATGAAAATGTGGAGTGCTTAAGGAAGGGTGTAACCACTTATCACATATGGTATCCTACCCCAATCCAAAAGCCTTCATTACAACCCGAAAGAAGTTCTACTTGATTTCGAACTGAGTAAACTTACATTAGTGGTGATCTACATGAGGGGCAAGCCTGTGGTACTTAAAGCCTTACTTGTGACATTCTTTTGTGAGAGAAGAGTGAACCTTTCATTGATCTATAAATTGAGCACGAACTCTTGAAGTAAGCTTGGCAAATGGAAGGTAGAGGAAGAATAAATTGGAGTACACCATGATCTACATGTTAGAGGAAGAGTCCTTGATGAGTTAAGTAAATTCTTGAAGCTCAAATGTCACATTAGAACTATATGTGCATAATATGTGATTTGTCACCTTGTTTAAAATGCATGAGTATTGTGGATAATTCTTAGTCCTAACTGAGTATGAATGCCTTATAATTGACTCTTTGAAATGAACTTTCACTTTGAGGAGGTGGGAAATAATCTATTTGCTTGAGGGCAAGCAAAGACTTAAGTTTAGGGGAGTTGATAAGTTATGGATTTTAACCATTTATTAATACCTTCTTGATTTAGTTTTAGTCCGAAAGTGTTGATTTTTGTTCCCAAAACTAATGAAATTGTGCAAAAAGCAGGAAGGATGGAGAATTGGACCTCAACGAAGAAATCTAACTTAAAAAGGAGTGTTCCGGCCCATAAGGCAAGAAGGAGTGCAACATGCCAAAAGTGCGATCCGCAGAAGAAAGTGCAGACCGCAAAATTACCTCTACGTTCGCAGATCTGGTGACTGAAGCTCAGAGGATGATTATAAAACTACGGACCACACACAATTTGTGTGGCCGCAAAATATGGTTGCACTGACAAGAATTCAAAAGGTTTAGAGACTGTGCAAAACGACCAAGTGTGAAGCCTTGCCAAAAGTGCAGCCACAGAAGGAAACGTGTTGCCGCAGAAGCTGAAGTGTAGCCGTAGACCAAATTGTGTAGCTGCAGAAATTCCCCACTTGCAGAGCGGAAAGTGTGGACAACACTTGGAATTGTGTGCGGCCACTGAACCTCCCAAAGGGCATTTTTGTCAGTGAATTTCGGGCCACTTTAAATAGACGAGAAACACTTTTAGGGCAAGTTTTATAGGTTTTTGTGTTGTAGCCGTTATAGTTTACTACTTTTGGTAATTTGTCACCATTTTGGGTGAATAAACATTAGTTTTATCAATTTAATCTTGTATTATGGCTTTAATTAGTTCTTCTTCTTTGTTTTCTTCAATTTCTATTACGAGTAGCTAGATTTTTTCTAGGGTTGTGACCCAACCCTAATATGTAAACCTTATGAGTAATTAATCTAATGCTTGTTTATGATTGGGTGTTTATTATTTTGCCTTGTTCATGCATTATTTCTAGAATTAATGGTTGCAAATATTGATTCATGCCTATTTGACTTGGTTCTTACTTGAGAAAGAGGAACTTAGTCTAGGAAACTTTGGCTAACAAGAAATTGGGCTAGTTAAGGTTTTGGCTAGCCTAATTAAAGGATTTGAACCAGTGAAAGGGAAAACCCAACTTGAGCTCATATCAACTATTTGAATTGATACCCAATTGGGCTTGAGAAAGCCAATTTGGGCAAAATCACTCAATAACCGAGAGGTATTGAGTGGATAATTTAGAGTTGAGAGTTATAATATACCCCGATCACTAAAACAAGTATTAACGTAATTTACCCATTATCCTATCACCTAGGTGAAGGTTACATCCTTAGGCCTTTTTCCCATTTGATAAAAACAACCAAAATAATTACTCGTTTTCTAGTCTCTTTCCTTTTAGTTGATCATTGCTAGTATTAATTCTTAGAAGTAGGAAAAAAATCCTTTGTTTGGAAGAGTAATTGAGCTATTTCACCTACATGCATCAAGTGTATGCATTAATACTCACATTTAACTCCCTGTCGAAATCGATCCCGACTCTTGTTCGGTACTATTCTTCCAACGACCGTTTCCTCTCACTATTGAGTGTGGATTGGGCGAGGATCAATGGTAACATGCTTAATATCACAATCTGTCTGGCGTGATCACAGGCTCAATATCACAATCCGCCTAGCGTTGTCACATGCTCAATATCACAATCCACCTGGCGTGGTCGCATGCTCAATATCATAAATTGCACGGCGTGGTCACGTGCTACCTGTCCAAACCATATCACACAGAAAGTAAATATGCAAGAAAACATGTATATGATCAATGAATATATGGAATTTCATACTCCGGGACTAGTATAAGTGACAAGCTAAGGTGTATGCATGTGCAAACTGTACTATCATACCTCAAATCAGGCAATTGCATCACAAAAGTAGCAATTATCATGTTCAATTAGGAGATTAACCTATATGTAACCTCATACATGATTCAAATAGCTCACAACATGACTACAAATATAAGACACGTCACAGCATAAAGCTTAGCAATCAATTAAAGACATAGCATAGCCTAAGCACTACCCTGAGCATGAATAAGACCCCGGTGCACGCACATAGGCTCAATAAAAGTCATAGGAAACGATTCCAAATAATAAAGCTTCGATCTTTAACTAAAATCAAAAAGTCAACTCAAAAGTCAACCCCGGGCCCGCACCTTGAAACCCTACCAAACTCACAAATTTCGAACACACATTCCGATACGAGTCAAAATATATGTGTTTCATCAAAATCCGACCTCAAATCGATCCTCAAATCATTAATGTATACTTTAGATAGGATTTTACTAGAAATGCTAAAATCAAAGTTGGAATCATGAATAATGAGCAAATCCGAATAAAAAACACTTACCTCGAACCAAATCGTGAAAATCCCCTCCAAAATTGCCCATATCCGAGCTCTTTAACTCAAATTATGTTAAAATGACTAAATCCCTCGAAAATAGAGTACTTGTGGTTTGCCAGGCATACCATTCGCGATCGCGGGACCAACTTCGCGATCGCGAAGCACAACCAAACACTGCCTCATAAAATCCTTTCGCAAACACGAGCCACTGGTCATGAACGCGATGCACTCCACTGATGAGCCTACGCGAACACGGTCCTCCACCCGTGATTGCAAAGTCTAAAAGCTTGACGCCCCAACCAACATCTCCTTCTACGCGAACGCATCCTCCTCAACATGATCACGAAGACCATTGCGTCCCCAAGCTTCGCGAACACGATCACTCCTTCGCTAACGCGATGAACAAACTCGCATGCCATCACAAATACTCTCCACGAACGCGACTGCTTTACCGCGATCGTGATGAATAAAAAACCAGACATAAGAAATAGCAATTCAACGCATGGTGAAATGGTCTGAAACCCATCTGAAACATACCCGAGGGCTCGGGACCCCGCCCAATCACACCAACCAATCCCAAAATATAACACTAATTTACTCGAGGCCTCAAATAAAATAAAATAATATCAAAACCACGAATCACACCACAATTCAAGCCTGAGGAACTAAAACAAATTTCCAATTTCAAAACTTACGCAGAACAAGCCTAAACGACTCGGAATGACCTCAAATTTTGCATGCAAGTTCCGAATGAAATAATTGACCTATTCTAACTCCCAGAAGCAAAATTCATACCCGATATCATCAAAGTCAACTCTCGGTCAAACCTATCAACCTTCCAACTTTTCCAACTTTAGCCAAATAGAACCAAATCAACCTAGGGATCTCCAAATCCAAATTCGAACATACGCCTAAGTCCAAAATCACTATATGAAACTATTAGAACAATCAAAACACCACTCTGGTGTCGTCTACACAAAATACAAACTTCGATAAACTCTTATAACTCAAGTTTCCAACCTTGGGACTAAGTGTTCCAATTCACTCTAAAACTATTCATGATTTAGAGTTAATAATGGTATTCTCGTACTTTCGCATAGTAGCATGATCGATGCAGTAAGTTGTGTGGAATTGAGATTGAATGAACA